AATCTGTTTACACTGGACAGCACTGCTCTGAGGACCAACTTTTTTTCCTGCTTATTCAAGATCTTTCCCTTAACTCAGGCTATTAAAATACACAGTGAGACTACCTGACAGCCCATGCATCTGCCATTCTTGGTCCTGGGCTCCACGTGAAGCAGTGAATTATTTTTTCTTTCTTGCAAGAGTGTTATGAGACTGTGTGAGTATCCAAAGGACATGTCCCAATTTTGCCAAACTTAAAAACTGATTTTGACTTTACTATTTTTAAGTGACCAAATATCATGTGTAAAACAAATAACACTCTTGATTTATACAAAATGAGGTATATCAATATATTTCTTTAATATTTTTAATATCAGTACACTATCTCACGTGACTATACTGAAAGCCTTGAGGTAGGAAGGCCTGTTATTCTTATCCTCTTTTCTGATAAAAAAACTGAGACAAAGTAAATGATCTGCCCAAGAATATAAGGCTTGTCATTGGTGGAGTGCAGACTCCAGCCAGGTTTTCAGGCCCATCTTAGTGCTTCAGAGTAAGTGATTACTCTGTATTTGTTTCCTGGAGCTGCTATAACAAACCGCCCCAAACCAGGGGCCTCAAACAACAGAACTTCATTCTCTCACAGATGCGGCGGCCAGAACTCAGAACCAGGCAGGGCCACCTATGCCTCCAAGGGCCCTCCGGGAGAATGCTTCTAGCTGCCGGCATCTCCTGACCTACAGCCTCATTACTTTACTCTCTGCCTCTCCTGACACCCTCTCCCCATCACACTGCTAATGCCTCCTCTCCAGGCTGTGTTATCTCCCTCTGCCTCTCTCTTTACAGAGACACCTGTTGGATTTAGTGCTCCTCCGAGTAATCCAGGATGAACTTTTCAAGATCCTTACCTTGATTACATCTGCAAACATTCTCTTTCTGAATAAGGTCACAGCCATAGGTTCTGGGTTCAGGACATGGACACATTGGGGGTGGGGGGGTAGAAATACCATTCAACCCACTATACCTACCTTTAGCCCCTAGGGTTTGAAAGAGGATGGTAATACACATTATATGCATTACATTAATTTTTACCAGGGACTTTCCCATTTATCTTGATTGCTTCTCTAGTGGGTACAACTATGTTTAAGCATTAGGAAGAGCGTAGTCATACCTTTGCATGTTTTAGATGTCCATCAGATTAATAGTCCTTTTTTTCCATGTTCATTTTTTTAAGCATGATATTTATGCAGTTATTAAAAAGATTCTGCCTTTAAAAAATTTATAACTAAGTATAAGATGTTCAGAAAGGAGAGTTTATTAGTTTGCATGGCAAACTAATGGCAGCTTGGCTCTACCCTCCAGTTCATAAGTCCTGGCTTTTGTTCCCAGGAATGGTAAAAAACAAAACACTCTGATGATTGATTAGGGAAAAAGTAAGAATTTGGAGTCAGGCAGACCTGGAACCAAAATGTTGCCTCAACATTTGGTAACTGTGTGACTTTGGATAAACTATTTAATCTCCCAGGGTCTCAGTTTTATTTTCTGTTTGATAAAATAACACCTGCCTGATGGGGTTTTATGATCATTAAATAAATTTAAAAAAATTTAAAAAAGGAAACCATCAGCATTGCGAGGTATCACCTTAGCTTCCCTGCCCCAACTTCCTTCTCAGATTAATGCTTTCAGTCAGTTGGTACCTGGGGTTACATCACAGAGTAAATGATATTTAGAAAGCCCAACACACATCTGTTATGTACAGCCTAAAGCAAATCTATGGTCTAAGAATCTGAATTTACTAAAAGGATGAGTTATCTGGGCACCTGGGTGGCTCAGTCCTTAACCGTCTGCCTTCAGCTCAGGTCATGATCTCAGGGTCCTGGGATCGAACCCCGCATCGGGCACCCTGCTCGGCGGGAAGCCTGCTTCTCCCTCTCCCACTCCCCCTGCTTGTGTTCCCTCTCTCAATGTCTCTCTCCCTCTGTCAAATAAATAAGTAAAATCTTAAAAAAAAAAAAAAAAAAGGATGAGTTATCATATACTTTACAAAAGGTTCCTTTGCTTTACAAAAGAATTCAACATTTAGGTTTACCTTTAATACCAAGTCAAATCTGCAAACCTCTGTTAATGATTGGCTTGCTCTGCAAATAGCATATGCCCAATAAATATTTTATTTAAAAAGAGAACACCTGCAGGGCGCCTGGGTGGCTCAGTCAGTTAAGCATCTGACTCTTGGTTTCACCTCAGGTCATGCTTAGGGTTGTGAGATTGAGCCCTGCCGGGCTCTATGCTGGGTGCGGAGCCTGCTTAATCTTCTCCCTCTCCCTCTATACCCTCTCCCAAGCTCACGCACTGTCTCTCTATCTCTCTCTCAAAAAAAAAAAAGAATACACCTGCATAAAAGGAGGCAAATCTATGGTTTCTTACTAATCAAACCTTTTCTCCTACTATAATTGGTGCCACAAGTAAAGAATACAGTTTGACTTGCCAAGCTGGAATCACAAACCTACAATATGGATGAAAGTAGTTTTCTTCAAAGAAAGCTGAACCAGACACAGCTTACTTTGGGTGATCTTTATTTGCTGATGTTAATTAATTAGTTTTTGAAGATACTATTGGTCTTAAGATATTTTTGACCCACATATCCTGAAACTATTAAAGTTAAATAGGGTGGAGAAAAGTGCCAACAGGAGAGTATTTTTAAAGGCAGCTTGGCTCAGGAAATAACACTGACAGTCAGTGACTCAGGACTGCATTCTACATGCTGAGAACACTGAAAATAGGAGGTAATGTAAAAGGGTGTATAGTCCAAGGTGACTGTGTCCTACGGCAGTCCCTGCAAACTAATAAACTCTCCTTTCTGAACATCTTATACTTAGTTATAAATTTTTTAAAGGCAGAATCTTTTTAATAACTGCATAAATATGCTTAAAAAATGAACATGGGAAAAAAGGACTATTAATCTGACAGACATCTAAAACATGCAAATGTATGACTACACTCTTCCTAATGCTTAAAAGTAGTTGCACCCACTAGAGGAACAATTCAAGATAAATGGGAAAGTCCCTGGTAAAAATTAATGTAATGCATATAATGTGTATTACCATCCTCTTCCAAAAATACATACATGAAATTACAATTCCCATTATTTTGCTATTTTACTATCAAGAAAATAGTATATCTTATCTAAGATGAGTGATGTTTTCAGAATCAAAACCAATCTTCTCAAGTACTACTTAATTTTAAAATAGGAATAACTAAATTTTCTTTAATAAAAGTTATAAGCTGCCATCTCAACCCAAAAGAGTCTTCAAAGTTTTTGCTGAAAGACCTAAGCTATGTAGGATCTTCAGTACATCAATTTTCCAAACATTGACTTAAGTCTCTCTCCACAATTAACGTGATCTTTGAAGGCAGAAACTACATGTATTCATCTTCTTTTCCCCAGAGCCTGTAATTACTGTTGATTCTTGTTAGTATAAAGCCAACACAAACAGTAAATTAGCAAATACTGAACCATTCATCACCCCCAAGGCGAAATACAGGGTTAGGTTCCTCTGAACTTCCAGTCACAACATTTTCATCAACTGATCAACACACAACCTTGTTTCATGTGTGGGTCTACTTAAAGGCACCTTATTTAATATATATTGTTGATTCGTTAACATTGAGCTCACTGCCAACAGCATTCTAACTCCTGCCTGAACAAAGCTTGTGTAACATTTGTATTTTCTCCATAAGGCGCGTCACAGCCTTTCTGTGCTTAATTGAGAACAACAGATAGCACTTCAGGACTATGCTCGGGGGCCATTTTAAACAGCCATATCACAAATAAAAAGCAACAACGAAATAAACATGGCATTACATATACTGCAAAAAGGACTTGTTTACACTAGGAGAACTGAAACAAGAAGGCAGAGTGCCGCATTGTTGGACCTCAGCTTGGAATGTGCACGTAGGATGAGTCATATTTTCCGCTACTCTGTGTATGCACATGTCCACAAATGACAGCAAAAGCATGAATATTGATTCTGGGGTCACAAATAAATTTTAGGGAGTAGGCACTTGCAAATACAGAATCTGCAAATAATGAGGACTGACTCTCTTTTCACATAGTAGGCGTCTGATGACTGTTTCAGATTTCAATGAGTAAGTGCTCCCATTACTTCCAGTAACTTCATTATTAATAATACTTATCAAAACAGTGTTATTCTTTTGATCCCATTTAGGACATGCCTGTTTTACACTGAACCCACTGGGGCAGAAAGCCACATACATCATGACCCAGGATTGTTAGCAGTCAAGCTAACAACCTGAGTCTGTGGGAATCAAGTCCTCTGCAGACAGGTTACTTTCTTTGTTGATTCTACTAGCTCTTCCCTGATAAATATGAACACACTGAACAGCACATTCCATACAATTCTGTTGGGAAACTAAGGAATCACGTCCTGCCAATAGACTGGAACAAGAAATTACACACCACTGAGATATTAAAAACATTCATTCCTATGCTTAAGCGTCAATCTCACTGCTATGAATAAATTACTGAGGGGAAAGGAAGGTCAGAATGCTGACAGAACGTAAGTCCCTTTCACACTTCGTCCTTGGAAAGACAGTTCTCTAATTGGTGACGGCAGCCATTTTTAAACACGAGATACCCGAGAAGCATGATACTTCACCTCTTAGACAAAGTGATCTTACCCTACTCTTAAAATGAGTTCTCATTCACAAGTGCTCAGTACCAGTTGATCTGCCTGCTATGTTTGTCTCAAAATCCAGTCATACTACCTGGTGCAGCAAAGACAAGAGTTTTCTACCACATGCTCCCAACACAGCTTTTCCACTTCAGACCATGTACACGCCCCTCAACTTGCTACCTTGCTGTCAACGGCTTGCCCCCCCAACAAAACAGCTGGAGTTCTCAACAATCAGGGAGCCACCTGCTGCCCGGTGACTAAGGAGCGCCGCGATTAGGGACACAGCACCGGGGTGTCGGTGCGCCGGGTCAGGGGTCAGCCCGCAAGATGGCGGCGGCAGCGACCTTCCGGCGGCTGCTGGGCCGGAGCGGCACGGCGGCGCTGAGCCCGCCCCGCGGCGCCAGGTGTTTGGCGGTGCGGACGTCGCCGACCGGGGAGAAGATTACGCACACCGGGCAGGTAACTGCCGCGGCGTGGAGGCCGCCCTCCATCCCGGCTCCCCGTGCCTCCGGTGCCTGCGGCCGGGGGACGCGCTGGCCGGTGGGCAGGGTTCCCGGGGACGCGGCGGCTTCGCGCCGTGTCTCGCAGGCCGAATCCTGTGCCAGCCCCGGTGCAGGCTAGGGTCGAGGAGTGTCGGGTCTCAGGCTCTGACAGGCGGGGCAGTGAGGGTGCACCGGTCCTCGGCTTCCGCCCGCTCCAGAGCGGAGCCTGCCGCCCGACTCGCCCTTGTGCCGTGCTGAGTGGTGCGTCGTAACATCTCGTCTGAAGCGCCAAGACGGTGTTGAACTGTAGTCAGAAGCCGGGGGGTGACTAAGCTACCCATGTTAGCCCAGTGTCGCCCAGTAGGGCTTTGAACTGCCGTCTGGGGAAGGAAGTCGGGGGTGCCACTCCTGCCCTGATGCGTCTCTGCCCTTTCCAACTCCACCTTGCTACCTTGCCATTCACGTTGTTGCCCCTTCTCACCTTGGGCGTCTTGCCGAAATACGCCCCTGGTTACACAGCCATCCTTTGTCGCTCCTGTGTTTGGTCACGAAGGGCCAAAATGTTCAGGAAAACACTTTCCTGTAATGTTTACTATTGATATTAAGTGACTTCTTTCAGAATTAGGCTGCAAAAATCATATATGGTTTTTTTTTTTTTTCCAGGTTTATGATGATAAAGACTATAGGAAAATTCGGTTTGTGGGTCGTCAGAAAGAGGTAAGCGAGAGATCTAGTAAAAGAGAGGTAGGCTTTCATAAAACCTTTATAGAACCAATGAGAAGTGAAAGTTAATATATAGCCTTAAATTCTCAAATTGTGAGCCCCCGAGAAGCTCTGGAATTCTGCATTTCTTTGAAATGTCTACGTGTCTACATTTGTTTTGTTTTGTTTCCTTCTGAAATATATAAGATGACATCTTGTAAGTGTAGTCTGGGTTTATGTATAAATGGGAGTGGTCTTTTTCTTTTTTCTTCATTTCTGTGCCTTATACCCCTGAGACCCTCAGATTAAAGGAAGTCACATCAACTTTTAAAAATTACTCTTTCAGTCACCTTTTGGGGTATTCTTCTCCTATTTCCTGCCAAACAGACGAGGTTGTGTTCTTACAGGGACTGACACTTCTGAGCTGAACCTGGCAGGAGGACTGTCCTGCCCTGATTGGGTGTGTCCCACCATGACTGCAGGAGAGAGGATGCTGATAGTGGTGTCCTCCACCTACAGGAGCCTGTGCTCTTCCTAATTCCTCTCTCACCCGCGCTGCCAGATCCCCAGTCTTCGTGCATGTTGGTTCGGGTGGTATTCCATTTCTGAGTCCTTTTGTCCTCCATAGTCCCCTTGAGCCCCTCCTTCCCTCAGTCAGCCTTCTTGTTACTCCTCAGTGTCTTAAGTTGTGTTTCCCCTCCCCTCTGATCTTGGTTACATAGTTCATTTTTTTTTTTTTTTTATTTTTAAAGATTTTATTTATTTGAGAGAGAGGATGAGAGGAGAGAGAGAGCACATGAGAGGGGGGAGGGTCAGAGGGAGAAGCAGACTCCCCGCTGAG